TTTTAAAAACCTTGATATTATTTTCCTCTTATTTGCTTTAAAGCTGATCTTTTTTTGTTTTTCTTCCACCAGACAGATGAATATAGTTTAGCAGATGTTGGTCAATTATGACCAACTTTTCAACTGCAATCTAAGCATTTGAGTGTCAATTTCAGTTATATAATTTCCATTTGGGCTTTAAGAAAGGTATTGGCCATAAAATTGTGATTATACTAGGGTAATTTCATATGAAATCATCCAAAAAAAAACATTTTTGACACACTTATGTCTCAGAATTTGTTCAATTTTACCTCACTTGCAGTGAGGTAAAAATGAACGCAATTGAAATGTTTTTTAAAACATTTATTTGAATAAAACACTAAAATAGTGTTATTTATTGACAAGTTAAAGGACGTTTATAGTCATAGGCCAAGGAAAGTCCAGGGGGCCTCTGACCAATTCTGCACCCCTCCTCCTCCTAATCTCCCTGAATTTTTTTTTTTTTAATGCATTAAATGATATAATAATAAATATTAAAATTCAATTTAAAAACATAATTTTTTTTTAGTTTAAGTTTGAAAAACATTTTTTTTTATTATTTTAATTCAGTGAATGCTTCTTATTATATCAAAATCTTATTATATCAAAAACAAGCAAATGTTTTCTTTTATTCTTTAAGGTTGTACATTACTTGTTTGTATTTTATTAAAGCATGGTTGTAAATTTTATTATTTTTGTATTTATTGGTAAGTAATATTTTAAATAATAAACATGTTTAATATGGAGAAATGTGACATCAGAAAAATGTTGGAAATTATGCAGTAAATGTTACAAAAAAGCAGTAGAATCAGATGGAGATTTATGTCAACATGAGGAATGGAAATCAAAAAGTGAGGAAAAAAATTAAGTTAGATACGACTATAGAATTGCTAGAATTTCACCAGTCAAACTAAAAAGTATTTCAAAACACAGCAAATTGCCTGCTGCAAAACAAAAGTTTGAGAACACTATTGACAGAGCTGCAAAAATGGTCTCATAAGCACATAACATTAAAAAAACTTCTTTAACAACAGAAACAAAAACCCCCATTTCAAACAATAATATTAACAATGAACATGATCTAGACATTTTAATTTATGAAATAAAAACTATATTATATAATATAGCAAACATTAATATATAAAATATAATATATCTGTGGTACTTTATGAAACTATGATGTTCTTTATTATAACTACGATGTAATACTTTTTCATTAAAGTTACTTAACTAAATAACTGGCCAGTGTTTATTTAATTTTAATTCTGTTCAAAATTCTGCAGTGGTTAACGCGCTTGCCACACAAGACAAAGAGGTGGAACAACGTTGAACAGCGTTGAACAACGACGCCACCTCTGGGCAAGTTTTAATAATAATGGTAAGGAAGGAGGCCTGAACTTTTTTCAAATGCTCTTCCACGGAGGAAAAGTTGTTTGATTTTTAATGCAATAATCACAATGTTTCATTGCTTAAAAAAATAACATTTTACCATTGCCAAAAAAATAGGGCACAACCTTACGGCGGGAATAGCGAATAGCGAATCTTTATAGCGATTTTTTTTTTCTTTCTTATTTTATACTTTACTAATGTCTCTAACATCTTTAAAAATTCAATTTTTAGTGTTGAGTCTATTATAATTATGAGAATAATTGAACTTTAAATATTGCGATTTTATAGCAATGTGTCGCTAGCTACATATCGTAGCTTTGTAGCTAGCTACAAAATATCTACAAATCTATAGCTGGTTGATAGCTACATACCAAAATTTTTATAATAGCAATTTTATTACGATATGACGGTACTTACAATAGCCTGTGAGTCTTTAGCTTATTAAGCTAGCTGTCCTCGTAGCCAAACCGCCGTCTTTATCTTTACAAATATCGATAGCTTTTCGCTAACTTAAAAAGGCTAGCGATCCTCGTGGCCAAATCGCTGTCTTTATCGTAACGATTATAGCTAGCTATTCGCTAGCCGATTTCCTACCAGGTTATGAGGTTTTCGTATCTTCTAGTTCATTAAATGTGTGCATTTTATGGCTCCATAATATTACACAAAAGTTCAATGAAATTTAATCTATGGGATAATAAGGGAAAATAACAAAGGCGGGCCTAACTATAGAAAATTCACAAATGAAAAACTAATTTATTCTAAAAACTATCATTGTATTCGTAAAAGATGCTTTATAAATGTAAAAAAAAACATTAGCAAAAATACAAAAAAATTATAAATGCCATTTCAAGACGCCGTGAAATTTATAAAGAAAATTCACCAAAAATATTGATATCTACATCAACAACAGTAGAAATAAATAGTAGAATATTTTTAAACAAAAAAATGAAGCTTGATTAAGTTTAGAGGTTGTTTATATTTTTGTTTTGCATTATTATACTTTTCATTTTTAAAATCTGTTTTGGAATGAAATTGACCATATATCAAGGTAGCTTTTATATTTTTCACCTACTTTGCAAAAATATGAATAAGTTGATCTTACATCAGTCATAGTTGTAGAAAAGACTAAAGTTCTTTTAGCTGAATAAGTGTTTAAAAGAATATCTTGAACAACTGGGTAGAAAAATTTTTCTAGATCTCCCGAGTCAAAATGTATCAAGCTGTATTTAATATTTCTTCTTTCTGGTATAGATGATATAATAACCAAAATAATGGATACAAAGATTATCAATAATGGTAACTCAGTTGGTTAAAACACTGTTATAAGTTCGGAATAATTATAAGCCGTAGCAGCAAGATTGGAGGTTTAAATGCCGGCTCCGCTTACTCAGCCTATGAGTAGTAGTATGAAGGGAACTTATCTCGATTAGCTGTCAATATCAATTCTGAAATTCTTTTAAAGACATGTGATCGCAATTCTGAGAGTCTAGAATTATCATGAGACCAAAAAAAATCTGATGGTTTACTTGAACTTCTAATATAAAAATCACATACAAATTATATTAAAAATATTATATTTAAACATAAAAAGTATATTTTGATAAATATTAATTTGAAAAATATTTAAAGCGTTCATTTGCTCCAGTAGGGGTTGAGCATGAGTAAGTTTGTTTTTGTTGAAAACTAGTCTTGAAGCGTGCTTTTGACGCAGATAAAGCAGTTTTAATTTAGTTATGTGGGTAGTGCCCCATGCTATATTGGCATACTAATTTACTTGAGGCATATCGAAATTCAATATCAGAATAGTATAACATTTCTTAATAAATGCTTAACGCATTTAGAATTAAAAATGAAATATCAAAGTATCATAATGAAATATAATAAATCATAATATATTAATGAAATATCATAATTTATGATGAAATATTATAATTTTCTAAATGCATTTAGCATTAAAAGTTTCTCAAATTGTTAATTATTTTGCATTCACTAAAAAATATTTTAAATCTCTGCTATTGCTGAGAGCTATTAAAGCTTCTTTTTGGTAATCCTTCAAAGATTTAATACAAAATTAGTCATAAAATATTTTAAAAGCATACTCTAAATTATCCTTTTTCGTTTGTTATATTGCTTCTTAATAGCACTGATATTTTAATTAACTAAATTTTAGCGCATTTTTAAAATAAAACCCGCCGAAAATTTACGATAATTCATTAAGATCAAAGAACCTTTATATTCGAATTCGGAGGTTCTTTCAAGTCGTTAAAAAATTAAACGTCCAGTTCGCAAAATGTCGTATGCCTTGTTATCGCGAAGATTAAAAGTATCTGGGAAATGAGATGAATTCGGAGAGGATAGAGGCCGATTATAATTTTTCTTTCAAATTATATGTTTTTCAAAAAATTCACTTAGATGCTCTTGCCCCTAGAATTCCGTGGCCTCCGGGCACGCGTCCAGCGTATCCGTTGGTTGAACCGGCACTGGAAACAGGTATGCTTAAACAAAGGAATATCTAGTCTTAAACGTATATTTGAATATCTTAATATACCACACAGTGGTAAGACTGTAACCGGTTGATTGAAAAAGGACAGGAGTCGTGTAAGTAATATGAAGAGGAAAGAAAAAACTTTTATTAAAAAAAAAGACATTTATTAAAAAGGATTATCTAAATGCTGATTTGATGAAGAACAAGAACTCGAAGCTAAATAATTGTATGCTTTTAGGAAGTTTTTAGGCTGTTTTTTTATTATTTTCTTTTAAAATATTGTTTTCTCAGTTATTCATTTTTCAATATTTACCTTTACGTGAAACAAGATATTTTAAGATATTAAAACCCCCAAAAAGTGGTATATTAAGTCATAGAAAAATTAAAAAATTCGCCTAACTACTTGTGCAACAAACATCATTTTAGTTCATTTTAAGTTTTTTGATAACTAGTAACTAAAATTTGTTATTGGAACTAGTTTATTTAATATTCTGAAAAAAAAATTAGTTTCCTAATAAACCACCTTAAGATGTTTATTACGTATTTCTTGAAAAATGCAATAAAAAACAAAATTAGTAGAAATATTAGTAGTATATACTACTTTGATGAAATATAAAAATAATTCATAAAAATTACTAGTTTCAAAAACGTTACAAGTAGTATTAATATATTAGTACTCAAATATATTCATTCGAAAACGTTCGTAAACATCTAAATCAGATTATTTTGTAAAAAAATAAAAACTTTTTTTTACCCTTATGAAAAACGGCTGCAGAATTACTTACTTAATAGCAACAAAAAAGATATGATATGATTATTTTTAGTTATTTAAAAATGTCATTATATAAAGTATTAGTTTTAAGTTTATCGAGATTTTTTAAAACTTCATATAGATCAAGGTAACGCATTTTTATTTTATTATAATTTGTAATTCTATATAAGTAATTCTATATAAGTATGTACTTTTTTTCAAGTAAAGTCTTAAAGCTTAAAATGCTTTGAGGATTTCCGCAGATACATTTTTCTCGGAAAAAGAATTATCCCATTGTTTTTTTAAGAGAAAATCTTTATTAGAATTATTTGTTTTGCTAATCGTTGTTAAACAACGATTTTTTGTGAAAAACTATTTGTTTAACTTGCTTTGTTTAAAATTACTGTACTTACATTTACATACTGCACTAAAATTTACTGTAAATCCTATTTTTCATCAAAATTTTATACTGTATTTTGATAAATTATTATTATTATTATTCAAATATAGTTCTATATTTTTCAATTCATATTTTATATCTAAGTTTTATTTTTAGGAATTGTTATTAAAATAAAATTTTATTTTAAATGGATAAAAGTTATTGGGAGTTTAACAGAAAAGCTGATGTTACGCTCTTGGTTGAAGGCGAAGAACTTTACGTGCATCGTTTTATTTTATCATCGTGTTCGCCTGTATTTAACGTAATGCTTGAGTCAGATAACTTTATAGAAAAAAATAGTCGCATCATCCCTTTACCAGACAAAAAGAGAGAAGATATTCAAGAAATGCTTAATTTTATATATCCGTTTGGACACCAAATTTCAGGTGCGTTTGTTTTTTAAATAATGCTTCGAAATACGCAATTTTATTTTAATCAAAGGGATATAATTAGGCACTTTTACAGTTGCGGTATGTTTTAATGTTTGACTTTTTCATTGGGGATAAATGAACGAAATGGCGGCTTTGTTTAGTTAATTATAAAAGGTTTTTCGTTGTTTTAGATTTTGTAAATGGCTTTGATAGGCAAAATTTTGGTGTTTTTTGTTGAAATAACTATTATACAAAGATATTAAGGTTGGTACAAAAAAAAAAAGAAGATAGGACTTAAATAAAGTATTATTGAATAATGCTTTGTTATTCATAAAAGTTTATGCAAAAAATAAATAAAACTATATATTGTTAACAACCCGAATCTTCAAGAAACTCCTACTATTTCCTATCATCTCAAAAGTTTCTTAACAAATAATTTCAAAATATGTTATCCTAATATAATAGACTAAATAATGACAAAATACTTTAGTTTTGTTATTTTCTTCATTATAAAAAAATAAACCATAAAACTAGACAAGAAAAAGGTAATGCATAAAGATACTAGAAAAAAAAAAAGTCTGTATACAAAAAAGTAAAAGTTCTCTTTAAAATTAAAAGTGAAAAGTAAATCTTTATCAACTAAGTTAATAAAACCTAATACATTAATCAAAAATAATCCGTTATAATGAAAACACATTTTATCTAGCTGCAATGTTTTATTTGATATTACTAGTCCATATTTATTATTGTGTATTAAGATTGTAAAGGCACTGGTAATTTAGATATAGATAAAATAACTAAATTATTTTATTTTTAATAACTTGAATTCATGCATTGGTTGTTATGGCCCATGTTTTACCAGTTTCCAAATGCACAATTAATTTTTCTTGTTGCATGGATAGTATTTTATGCCATTGTTTGACAATGTTATACTTCAACCAGATTAACTTATTTATTCACAAAATATTTGTCAAACATGGACATCGTTTAATTTAAATGACTATAGACTGTGCACAATTTCAAAAAGTTCAACACAATTTCAAACTGTAAATTTTAATTTTAGCACTCTTGAGTTTCCTTACTATAATAATAAACAAAATGAATAAGTATTATGGTATCTGATGCATAATGGTATTTCAGCACATGGAAGTTGTATTTTTTCCGCAATATTTACATATCTATATTATTTAATACCAGATAGTGAAAACTAGTGTGGTACATTAGGTTTTTGAATTTTTTCAAGAATACGCACAACAAGAACTTTGACTCAAGTTACTTTGTTTAGCCATGAGTCTGAATTTTTTTAAATATTATTATAATCTATATATTTAATAGGATCAGTTTTATATCTTTTCTCAATGCTAATATTTATTTCAGTTAAATTTCTTTGTATATGTTGCTGATGATATTCAGCAACATTTACAAAGAAATATGTAAATAAGTTGAAAGGATAGAAAATTGTTTTTTTTTTTTGCTTGAACACATTATTTTACTAAAATTGTTATTATATAACAATTTTAGTAAAATAATGTTTTTAGATGATTTTGTAGCAGTATAATTTTTTTTTCCATTAAGCTAATAATATTACTTCTCACAGTAAACTTTTTGTGATCTGAAGAAGTTAGTATTATAAGTTTAGTTTTCTTTATCATAATAATGACGCATTTTTACAAAAAAAAAAGCATTGAAAAGAAGGCATTTTTATAAAGGAATAGTAGAAATAGTGATGTAGATTTTACACGTGAAGATAAAACATTGAAACAATGCGATTCAAAAGTTTATTTCCTTCATTTTTGACTTTATATTATTTTTCATTTTTATAAAATCTCTCTGGAATTTCTAATTTTTTAGGTTTATGACAACAACTGTTTTGTGTTCGTTTTTTAAAAGCAAGACGTACTGATATAAGTTTGATTTGGTTAGACAGGGTCATAGAAAATAAGCCTTTTACTTTGATAATATCATTTTTGAACTAATGATATTTTTTCTTTTGCTTCATGAAAGTTTTTTATAAATAATAACAACAAAAGGATATATTAACATTTTTTGAAACCAATATTTCAAAAATAACATTATTGAAACCAGCAATTCAAAATAAAATATCGGTGAAATCTTATTTTTTAATAAAACTACAGCAGGAAGAATTTTTCTCCATAAGATTTTTATAACAAGCAACGTAAACATCAGGTGAACTAAAATCCGTTTTAAAAGTCAGTTTTTCTGGCTGTCCTAAACTGCTTTTTCTTATAATCAAAGTATAATTTTATAAAAATAGATGAAGTTATAGAATGATACATTGAGTCTTCTTTGATTAAAGAGATAGTTGAAGGCGGGATGCTTGTAGAATCCAAGAAAAATTCGACTACAAAACGTCATTATGCCTTTTATTTTGGTTTTTATGCACGGAAAAGATATTATTTAAATTTATATATTCTGATCCGCAACTCATGTACAACTTGTAGATGAGCAATGGTCTAAAAATCATTTTATATAATTGTTTTTTATTTAAAATTATTCATTGTATCTTCTTAATTGAAAAATACATTCTCTTAACAACTGAGATTGGTTTTGTTTATGTGCATTTATCCCCTATAATGATAACGCCGAAATCTCATATGCCGAAACCAACCCTTATGAAAGTTCCTAATAGCTGGAGGGAGAACGAAGCCAAAAATGATTTCAAACCCGGTATAGTCTTTGTTGTATAATTATTCTAGCGGTAAGTCAAAAAAAATTAGCAAAAATTTATAGGGGTTTAAACTTTATATGGTCATAATTTTTGAACGCTGAGAGATAATACTATGAAACTTAAAATTTGTTGATAAATATAAGTCTAGTTGAAAATATTACAAAAACTATTTCATCAACATGTTGCTCTCACGCTTGGGGCAGTGTCGGGCAAATAAAATCTATAGAACTGTAAAGTTGTTTTGTTTTGCATTTTAAATAACAAAAAATAAAAAAGAAAGCCAAGCTAATGATTTGAACTTGCCACGTGGCACGGCTGTTTTAAAGAGCAATTTTGTCACTTGCGCTTATCTTTAAAATCTAATTGAACAGAAATGTTGCGCATATTTTTGTTTAAGTTAAAGGCTTTAATCTTTTATATTTCAAAATACATTTTTTTAATAATCTTCATTATTTTTTTTTAATGTGCAGTTAAATAACCAAACAGTATTAATAAAGAAATACAAAATTTTTGAAACTGAAAAAACTATGTTATTTTAACAATGAAAATCAATATTTAACTAGTAAAATAAATTTTTTTGTAAAAAAGCAAGAAAATAAGTAATATATAGAAAAAGAGAAAATATAATAAATATTAATTTTGCATTTCGCTTGAAAACTACAAAAGCTTTTGATATAATTTTTTATGCATTGTGTTTTAATGGCTTACAGCATGTTTCTTGAGATCCGCGAATTACGTCCCTACCTTGATGCAGCTGCGATAAAGTTAAATTTAAACAACTTAAAGGATGCTGAAACAAATCAGTTTAATGTATCTAGAGTTAATGAACGTCTAAATTCACACTTTTTAAAGAATAAAGAATTCTTTTTGTTTATTAAATCTATTGTCTCAGAATCAACATCCCGACGGGCATTTGTTTTTAAAAGTTACGTTCTAAATGTATTTTAAATGTCTTTTAAACGTTTTTTGCGTAAGAATGTTTAGAAGACGTTTAAAAGACATTTAAAATACATTTAGAGCTTAACTTTTAAAAACAAATGCCCGTCGGGATAAGTCTTGTTAAGGCAAACAAATTCTAAGAACTTCATGAGTACGGTAAATACATTCGAGAAGAAATCAAAAACAGCTCAAAAAAATAAAAATAAACTTTTTTTTTTTAAATCATTTCAGTTTGAACAAAAAAAAAGAGGAAAATCTATAGACCTCCAAAAAAACTTCAACATACAATAAGTAGCTTTCAAAATTAAAAAACTCTCTTCTTTTAACAAACAAAATTTAAACAGAGACAATTGAAACTATTACTACTGATTCCAAAATCATGGAAAACAAAATTACAAATCTTGAAAATGATACAAGTATCCTCCTTGTTGAAGTTACTAAAAATGATTTTTCTATAAAATCTCTTCAAAATCAAATTGAAGAAACTAATACATCAAAGCTTCAACTTAATAAAATATATGGCGGAGTTTAGAGTGGAATAAAAAAGTGAAACATTACTGTTAGAGAAAGATGTTTCAATAAACATTATTAACATAATAACAAAAGACATATTGACTATGACAGAATATTTAGGCGGCGGCTTGTTTCGTAGAGCAAGGTATTTTGGGACAAATTTCAAGTTTAAGCGCAATTGTGACGGGCATATTCGAATGTATGCTCAGTTTAATGATTCTTTAAATCTACGCACGACGAAAAAAAATTTGTAGATATGTGTACATTTTATTGAAGATATTTCAGATAAATTATCAAATAGATGCTCATTTAAAATTTTAAGCGAGTTAGTTGGTTTGAAAGAAAACATTTTTTATGAATATTTTTCATGACTTGGGTAATCCACTAGTAAAACTATCTGCAAAAAATTCTTTTGCAATACAATCCCTTTACATATACCGAGCAACAAAATGAGAAATTTAAGAGTACGTCGGAATAGTTTAAAAATGAACATCATTGGAGCGCAAAATAAATAAGGAAAAGTTCCCAACGATTTGCCGCATGAAAGAAGTTTAAACTGATTTTATAGGGTTGACAAAATAACAGAAAAAAGTAAAATCTTGTCTCTATATGCGTGTTCAAAATGTGATTGAATTTCTTGAAGAAGTAATTTTAAAAGATTGTTATGGGTTTTCTTTTGATAATGCATTTAACAATAAATGGTGGTTCTTGTTTTCTGGTGGTAAAGTTAGAGATCACATGAAGTAATTTGTTGAAATTATCAATTCAAGAAATTCTGGTTCTGTAGATAATGTTCATATTTATTGTTTGTTTAGAGCACATAATAGTGACGAAAAATATGATTAAGATTTTTATTACTAACAGCTAAAAATTA